GGTTAAAACCAAATAGTAATTAGAGAGAGGCCAGATTAAAAATCGTCTAATAACTATCGCAGATAAAAGCGTGCAAGTTGGTTGAAATTAAATGGCACCGTTCTGTTCAACAAAACAACATAAACACAAAGCGACCAATTAATTAAGACATAATTGCAACTAACTGACATATGCACAAACGTAGATATTACATGTGAATGTTACGCATACACAATACAACATTATTAGATTTATACACCTATGCGCAAGGTGTTCCCTCTTTAACATATGTCATCTTTAGATTTGACCCTAAAAGTGTATGTATAATTGGCAAACAAATGTTAAGCACATGGCCATTCGCGATTAAACATTGTTAATTAAATTAATATCTACGATTGGCTGTCGTGTTGTGACTGCAACTGTTAACTACTATAATTCTTTATTTTTACAAATTTATGTACAGACCCAATATCGTATCTGTCTTTTATAATCAGGCACTTCTATAGACGATATGCCATCTGACAACTTCCGGGAAATGAAGTAATAAAACACAATTTTTTAAAACAAAGGCCGTCAGACTGGATCTCGTTAGCACTCCATATAGACAGCGTTCTATCAATTACTACCAAAATGTAGTCAATACCTTCTTTCTATAGTAAATTTGTGATTCGACAAGTCAATATCCTTATGAATTTTGTCAAACATCTTTGAATTCTATTGAAATGTAGCGGTTTATTATATGTTATAAAGAAACTTGTGGGCAAATCCATAATTTTAAAAATATTGGATGGTTTTTACTTGGAGATTTTGGCAGTATCGTTCGGACGATTAATTATTCATGATTCGGGAAGATGGGAGTAGTTTGGAGGAGAAAGATGAAAAGTTTCGTCTTCATGTATCGATTCAATTGCGCACACGTCAGAAATTCCGAGACAGACGGTACTTAAATCCGTATGATCCAAGACGGCTTAGAACAACACCTGGCATGAGCCGGAGCGCCATGAGAAAATTGGAACAAGATGTACTTACAAAAAGAACTCGAATTAGATAAAGACGCCAGAGATTCGAAAGGTAAGGCGGTTAAGTCGGGGAGATTTGCCTCCCGAGTCAATTGATCCAGCGGGAAATTTGTGTGCTTGACGGGAGCGGTATCCTTTTCCGCCTTTTTAGCGAAACCGCGCCGGCAAATCTAAGACGTGTCCTGAAATACGTCTTATACGAGGGACAATCAGTAATAAGCATGTTATGAATTTGTAACATAAGTTCTAGCTTGACGATCTGTCGAAACCAATAAACGTGAATCGCGATTAAATCTTTGGTTCCCATCAGCACTCCTTTGTCAGAAGATCGATTAATTTATTTGTTGTCGTTAAAAATGTTCATTAAATAAGATTTTTAATACTTACCAAGGTTCTTTTTGATTAAGGATATCGATTTGTCAAAGTGAACCCATTATTATATGATCTTTTATTCGCGTCTTGCCTTAAATACATGTCAAAAATCATCGAAGATACAATAATTTGATAAATTTGTAAAAATTCCTGACCAGGATCATCAGGATTACACTAAAGTTTCTAATTTTCTAGGTTAAACATAAAGTTTATGTAGAATGACGGTAAATACTGTCTTTTATCTTTTCAATCCCTCGGGAACAGTATTTTTTCTGGATAAATGATACTCTATGTCCTTTTCCATACCTCTGTCAATGTATGTACAAAATTTCATGATGATCGGTTGAATAGTTAAGATGTGAAATGGTAATAAACAAACAAACTCAGAATTGCATTAATTTATAATTTAATTAGTTGAGATAACAATAATTATCTTATTACCCGTGTGAAGCCGGGTTAGAATAGCTTCACCGCTAAGTCCAAGCGTGTCGTAAAAGGCGACAGAATCGGACAACAAAATTGAAATATTTTTTATTTTTATCAAAAATAAATTATATTTCAATTTTTTATAATTCTATTAGTAGATAAGCTTTTCGGTCAAATTTTTTAAATAAACTAGTTTGATGTTTTATTGTGAACGAGTTTACACTTGTATTATAAATGGTTTCTAGATTTGGTTCAGTTTAAAGCAGATAAATAAAAGCATTAAAGAGAGGTGCGATAATATCGATAACGATAACTCTTCGGGTGCAAATTAAAGGTGAATTTCGGCCCGTATTACGCAGTTAGTTATTTAAATCCGCGGCTTTTTATTTCAATTTTCCCAGATTTCGGAGATTACTTTTACATTAACCTGATCGGGCACATCTCCAGCCTTTTCAATGAACCCGATTATATTCGGATCAAGCGTCGTTTTACAAAACTATCCACATATAAAACGTACTAAACCAATATCGGCAACATTTTCTTTATTTAATATTTAATTCAATATCATCGATATTTATTGAAACCTTTATTACACAGAAAATTTACATTAAACTTTAACCAAGTACGGTATGTTAGGTTAAGTTTAAAAAACTGAGAAAATTACTTTGGGTAGATAGTAAAATATCAACCCTTACGATCCAACTTTTATTACAATAGAAATTATAACAATTAGCATTTTTTGGGGAGAATCTTGAGAATGTTTTGATGTCCCAGGAAAAACCACAACCTATTCCCCTCAAATGGTCTACCATGGTTATATCCTTGGGTCCCCCTCTTCCCGGAACAACGTACCCATTTTATGTGTTGTAAGGTCTAGTCATTTTGAAAATTGTATCACAGGAAATGTGTCAACTTCAGTCCGTTGTCCGACTATTGCATTCATTTTTACATCTTCTTCAATCAACTCGACAATTGGCGTCAAAGATACAAGAATCATCATTTTTTGGACAACAAAAAATCACTTTTATTAGACCGATCGTGCCCTTACAGAGCGATATTAGGACAATTGTACTATAGATTTTCGGGACACTGTGTATATATTTTGTATCAGTTCAAAACTACAAAATGACAAGCGGATTTTTCCGTAGGCAACTACCATTAATTCCATTCCCGTATCCATTCGAACGTCTCTCTACCTTTCGACGAAAGTTAATTTGATGGCTGGCCTTACCAAGTAACTTGGTCCCTCTCCCCTGACGTTTCCCGAGCAGCAATTTTCCCGTTCTCGTTCCCTCGACGTCCTCCGCCGGTCCCTGCCGATCTTGATTGGCTCCGACCGCTCTAATCCCACTTTAGCCCCGCGGTCGCCCCGGACCCGGAATTCTCCCGGACTTACGACCGTCCCGTCCGTTTGACTTTGCTACTGCTGCTGCCTCTTTCTTGGCTTCCTTTGCCCGACCGCAACATTCTGCTCTCTCTCCCCATCCATCCAACCAACCAACCACTCTGGTAGTCGGGCCCTCTTTCTCTCGATCGCCTTTGAACTGTACGGTGCGGTGTAATAAGAACAAAAAGAAGACGCGTCTCCTTCTTCCCCGAATTAAAAAGAGGAAAAAGGGGCACGCGATGACGAATTAACTACGAAATTGAAAAAGAATTGCGACGCTTATTGGAAAGATTTTCGACATGGTACGGAAGTTGACCATCGTTATTGTTACGAGTCGGATGACTTGAATGCATAATGGTCAACAGAATAAATGTAAAGTTCGAGGTTGGATAGACGTTTTTGGTTTAAACTCAATCTTTCCAAAACTTCTACGAACTTCGACGTATCTGAAAGCTGCGGCTAATGTTGGAAGAGTCTTTTAGAATACCCATTGTTGGTACAATATTTCTGAGTTAATGTATTTCTGATCGACTACTGTTCAACTGCAAATGCAAGTTGTTATGTAGCTCGAAATTCGAACAATCTCCTGAATATTGACTGAAATATTTTGAGGAACGATTAAAAAGCCGTAAATGGATTAACATATTACACACGCTTCGTAGATAATTCCTGGACACTTTTAGAATGTCTAGGTCATAATTTTGTGATAAAATCGATTTGCAGTGTGCAAACTGTTTTGCTGGGTTTGAATTTAATTAATTAGTGGAGGTAATTGTAAGTTAAATAGTGTTGGAGTTTCGCGTCCTATTCCGCGAATGGGATCTTCGCGTTATATTGCAGACATTCTCCCATTTTTATATCTGTTTCATTTCCCTTTTATGTGTCTTATTTATCCACCCTTGCACACGTCACTTCCAGTATTTTACAATCTAATCATGGGGAACGCACTGCAGTAATCCCACGTTATTTCTCTTGCTGTGTTCGTCGACGACCAATTCGACATTCGTCGAAAACGGGCGCAGTTGTCGGATTGAAACGGGCGTCGTTCAACTGGTCCGTTGTAGCGTGCCGCTGTGCAAACTTTCCCGCCGAACATTCGGATCGGAATATAAAATAAACTTACGGAGAGGCCCCTTCGCATTTCCTTTTGCTTTCCAGAGGATTTACTCTTTCTTCGGCCGTATTTTGGGGAAGCTGCAGCTTCAAAAAATAATGGATTGTCTCCGAAAGGATTCCTCGCGAAACACTCACTTAACGTACAACAATCAGACTACTCACTAACTAAAGATAAGGAAAATGCAATAAAACTACTAAACAATAGTGTAATGCGAACAAACGGGCACGCACCCGCATCCATTAAAAAAAGTTATTAAGACGAAATGGACGAACAAATGATACGTTTGGAGTTCTAGTCGGGGGTCAATTTTGGACTGTAATATAAAATTCAGTAAACTCGCTCAATAAATTGTAGATCCGCATTTGCCGCAAGTTGATGAATTAAAAAACAAAAGGAAGAACGTAAAGTTGATTTTGACTTGTTTTCGTTCAATTTTCTTTTATTGGTTTGCGAGTGGGCTAGAAAGTCGTTCAGTCGTATTCTTTTCGCTCGGTTAAAATCCCGTCACTATAAAATGCAAATGGTAAGTGAAAATCAACGCGGTTCGAGTCTTATTCGGCTTCTTCTCTTGATTACTTGAATGACCTGGCCGCAAGAGCGACCGTTCTAGAAAACTCGTTACGAAGGGATTATCTACTACACTTACTCCAATTAAAACATACAACCTTCCACGAGCGGACAAACATTTCTAAATGACAAATTTACGAGAGCCCTTTATTTTAAGAGATAACCTTATTATACGTCTTATACATTATGATAGAAATAGTTTAGATGTCGACATTGTGTCATTGATTTTTGAAAAGCGGACTTGACTCTATGTCATCAAAGAACAAGTGAACGTCGTTGACAGGCACCAGATACATCGGTAGTATGTGCGCCCTGTTGTAAATGTACTGCATCACAATTTCCTTGACAGCGTTAGGATAACTGGTGCTTTCAAACTCCTCTTCCAGTTCCCCTATTACGTCATCAGGTACCTGAAAATGAACGCCGGACAAATCAGGACGATTTAGCGGACAGAAAGGTCCATGTTCACTTACATCTTTCCAGTTGTACATTCTGTGCAAGTCGATGATTCTTTTTCCCCAAGTTTCCCCAAGCAGTGGGTCCTTAATGAGAAAATTAAGATGAAATTGACGAGTCGTGATGAAATGTGACCACATGGGTGACTTACGACTTGGAGATAGACGAGGTCCTTTATCTTCTCTATTATGTCCGCAAAATCGTCGTGGTACAGTGCAAAGGTCCAAGGTTCCCGGAAGAATTGGAAGAAATCACGTATCAGTCCCATATCGTATCTTAATAGCATTTTGTTGAAGAAGCTTTCGTGCCTGCCCCAGATTGCGAACAGATTATTCATATTCACGTCCTGCGAACGATCAAAGGCAATATTTTATTTTCCGAATATTCCTTGCTGTCGAACTTACTAATCGTGTAAGGCACATTACACTTTCGATTATATTATGCTTGTTTAAATGTATTTTAAAAAATCCTTGGGTATTCAACTGATGAATGTTTCCCGTAACAAGATCCCTTCCCTGGGAAGTTAAAACGAATTAATGTTACTCCGTAATCTCAGGTACTGTCACCGTTACTTACGTATTCTTTTGGATCATCGGACGTTTGGCCGGGAAAAAATTTACCCGGTTTTGTAATGTACAAATAATTCAGATTGCCGGGCAGTTTGCAAAATATTTTAACAGGCTTCTCGTAAACCCGAACAACGTACTCTCCCTCTTCACACACAGGACCCGTTACTTCTTCAATCAACCTTCTTTTTGTCGCTGCAGTTATAAACGCTTTGTTTATATTTTTTCCCATGTCTGAACCTACTTCTTCTAGATTATAGAATCTGCAAGAATCACACGGATGTTTTGGAGATTTAGAAAATACCACAAATGGCGCGGTAAGCGCCATCTGTAGTACGATGCTACATTTTAGGATTACGTATACTCCAACAACATCCATTTGTATGGTTATCTATACTTGCTTAAATGAATCCCGGCGTAGTTAATCTCAACGTGATAGGCACGTTACCATAATCGAATAAAATAATTCGAAGTGATCTGTATTCTGTCGAAACTGCCAGACGCGGATCGCGATTTCGATCTTTTTGGATCTCATCAGCGCGTCGCTGCAAATGGACCTTGTTGGAGAATATGTAATCCTAAAATGTAGCATCGTAGTACAGATGGCGTTTACCGCGTCATTTGTTTTATTTTCTAAAACGCGCTGTTAAGACAGCAGGTAAATGTTTGTCTGTGTTCTGTCGGAGCTGCCTGCGACGCGCTGATGATATCCAAAAAGATCGAAATCGCGATCCGCGTCTGGCAGTTTCGACAGAATGGAGACCACTTCGAATTGTTTTGGAGTTGTTAATAAGCACATTTTTACCTGTGACACAGATGATCAGCGTAGTACTTTCTCGAATACTTAGTCATTGTTCCAGCGGCGTAGATCACGGGGTCGTTAGTTTTGTATTGGGAGTCAATGACCAATCCACCGTCGTATGTAAGACCTGCTTTGTTGATAGCCATAAACGTTACCGGACTTACCGTTCTATGGCAGTACATATACATGGCTATACAGGGGACGTGGATGCGTTCATATTTTGATTTAAAACTGCAAAAATTCATCAAACCAGATTTGTGTATGAAGTGGCACGAAGGGTTATCCCAACTTTTGTAAGAAAAGTGTATTGAGATCCATCAAATGGACATCTAGTGATAAAACATAAGGGAACGTTTTTTTGACAATCGAGTCGCGCGTCTGTAATTGAAAATAGAAAAAAAGGACTATTGGGCACTTTTTGCGATGTGCCATTTTTCTGAAAAACATGATAGAGGGAAAGATTGAAGGAAAGAGAGAGTGAGGAAGGCCCAGGCGAAATTATTTTGACAGACCAAAGGAAAAGGTCGTATCAGACTGCACGGTAAAAAAATCTCTCATTTTCACCACCGAATTGTGGGCTTGTCCCATTTGATGAATCCCAATATTCAAAATAAATTACGTGGCTCCTGTAATCAAGTTCTTTTCTGAATCATAATCCCAATCTTCGTAGTCGTAATTAATGTGTTGTTTGATGCCGCATTCTTTGATTGCATTTCGAACAGCGTCCAAAATTTCGGAATCGGGGAATGGCTTAGCCGTCCAGTAGGATGGAATAAGACTGTCCTCAATATGAACAGAAGTATCAATAAAGGTTAAATTTTTGCCCGGCACTCCAGACATCATGAGAGCGTTTAGACAACAGAACGCTTCAATTCTATTGCCGAACACAGTGATGTTATCTAAAAAGAACTTTCATTGCTGTCGGAGCAAAATGACAAAGACAGGCCAGATTTTAAGGAAGTTGTACCCATAGAGCGAAACCTTATCAATAAGATAATTTTAATACTTTATCGTGAAGGTTACAATTTCCTTGATATTCCTTACATTCATTATTTGCTACTTCATTTATCAGTTCTCTCAACATATCCAACGATCTTTGGCCGTCCGTCAGGTCATTCACGATGAAGACGTTCCTTGGAAAGTTTCTGATATTGGTTTGCGAAAGGACATTGCGCGGATTGAAGCCGGGTTTTTGGAACTGTTCGCCGCACATCAAGAACAAATAGTCGTACTTGAGATAAGCACGATTGTTTATTATCAGCGTCTTGTTTTTCCGGTCGATGGCAGTCATTACACCGTGCACCTGATTGATCAGGCTGCGGATTGTGATCATGTGTCCCTTCCTTTCGCGAAACGACGCTAAAACATTTAATTTGTAGATTGTTGTGGATATTCTTTTTGTGCCTCACGTACTCTTCGACGGTATCATAAGTTTCCAAGCCAGAGATGAGGACAGCCCCATGTCCTGCGTCCATAGACCGTGGGGTGCGACCAGGGTTATGTTGGTGTATGTCAATCGACACTCCTCTGACCATTTGCAAAGAAGACTTTCCAAAAAGGCTGTAGCAGTCACTCCAGCGCCAACCACCACAAGTTTAACATTAACGTCAAAGCTTAAAAATGAAATTATTGAGATGAGAATTTTAAGGAACGGTCTTCGGTTGTCGGCGGGGTCGGCTTACGTAGGTCGAGAAATCCTCGGAAGCGATACTAAAATAACGTTTTCGGGTTGAGTTGTGATTGTAGGCGGACCTCTGTTCAAAAATCGACGATCTTCGTCAGCAACATTAAGATCGATCGGTTCGGGTTGTTTTTTTATTCGAACGGGCAACATGTATTCAAACAGATTGTTTACTATTCTATGACGTAGAATGTCGTCGGTATCATTGTATTCTTCTTCATAAAATATCATGGAAAAGTCGCTCATCCGATGGAGTTCCCTATTTTAAACGGATGCAGAACGTGCACAAACGGATTATCTCTGATAAAAAGGGTACTTACCTTAAGAAAAACGTTGATAATTTGTTGAATACGCAAGATCTAACTGAATATTTGATTTCACCGAAAGTGTAAGGTTTATTGACTTTCTCGTTGAAGCATGTCTTAAGCTGATATTGACTTTTGACGCGATCTATATCATTGAATGGTTGTAAGATGGCTACCCCTACAACGCGACAATGCATAATTATGTTTAGATGGATATAAGCAAACTTACCAATAATCTTCGTGTGCAGCAGTAGAACATAAGCGCTTAGCATGCTGCCTTCGTCATAAACAGCGTCAGAAAATTCGTTCAGGAAATTTTCCACATTATCCGCGACCTTCAATGATCTTTGAATGGCGTCATAGTCACGTGGCGATGCCTGGCGCACCCGGGGAGTGCCGTAGAAATAGTCTCGATGTTGGAAGTATACGTTTTCGTCGAAAGTGTGATTCGGCCGGGGGGTTAGGCGGCTACACAAATTCTCAAAGGCAGGAGCAAAGCACTGGGGATGCATACATATCAGGGCAAAATCACGATTCGGAAAGCATTCGTAGGCGGCAGAAAACAGTTTCGGTAGTGCTGTTTTCATATGTTCCTGTGTGACACTGGCCACTTCGATCACGAATGCGTTGGGTTCACCAATGTACGTGTCCAGTTTTGTCCTGGGTATTTTTTGATCTGAAAGGGGACACGGATTTATAGTGCGAATCGATTTAAACCACTTATGTATTCCTCTATATCGTTAGAAGGACTTCTGCGTACAACCAAAATTTTAGTTGGGTTGTTTTTCGTTGATCATCACAATCTTTTGGATACATCCCGTGGAGTAAAATTTGAAGCAACTTCACAGTTGGTCAAATTTAATTGTAAACCCAAAAACACTGATCTCTGATTACCTACTACTATTTAGGAAAAAGTGTTACTAATTCTTCTGTTCATATTTCAAATCTCTTCGACAGGGGCGGCTTTAGCCATTGGAAGGTTCCGGGCGGGTAAATTTTTGCGAGGCCCTCGTCTTCGTGGAATTAATTTTAATGAAATGGAAAGTGATTCATAAATAAGTTGACAGTTTTAAAATTGTTTATCGAAAATTAAAAAAAATTGATAAAGACAAAGATAGCAAATTTGCGGCTTCTTTTAAGACTATTAAGAAATTCAAATAAACATTAGTAGTATGTACTATTACTACCTAATATTTTTCTAATTAGATTGTTGCGCGAGTGCGCGAGGCTTTAAGAGCGAGGCTCCAGGCAGTTGCCCTGTTCGCCACCCTCAAAGGCCGCCTCTGCTCTTGGATAATGAACGGTTTAAGGAAGGAGATGTTTTACGTTAAATAAGTAGAAGAGGTACCTTCGCCAGTAAGAAATAGTGAACTTTTTCGGCTAGAAGTATACTCGTATCGAATTTCCGTTTCGTACAAGTGTTGAGTATATAAATTGACCTGTTCAGGTTCGAAGACCTTAGACTGTGGTTTTATGTGTGCCTCTAGTGCGTTGTCGTCCGAGTCCGAGGAGATTTCTGTGAAAACGTGTAGCGACGGAATAGTTTCCAGTGAAAGTCCATCGTCGCTGCTTTCGGATCCTGAGGAACCGCTTGCGTTCTGTGACTGCTGCTTGCCCATACTCATTTCATCCTGAACGTTTGCTTCTTCTGGCAAGATGTCTTTATTTGAGAACGTACTTTCCGACACAGAAATGTCATCTTCGTTCATGTTAATACTGAAACAGGTTTACGAAAAATAATGCAATTAAAATGTCAAGTTCTTTTACTTGTAATAATCGACAGTGTCGAATAGATAGTCAACTTCGTAAGGTGGAAATTTTCGGAAATTGAAAAAGGGCGTTAATTCGAATCGTGACTTGAGCAACTCGTAATTGACATTCTCATTCAGAACGAACACCCCCACAACGACCTCTTCGTATTCTGCAACAATTATCTGCCTCCCACAGTTGCGATGGGTTGTAAGGATTTCGGCAATATAATAGTCCCCGTATAGATAGGTCAATCTCTCCGAATCATTCTTTACTATTTCCACTATCTCATCGTTATCTTCTTCAACTGCCCTTCTGATTTTATATTTCGGAAGAATGGTGTCTGCCACAAACAGTATAAAAGTTTGGCAGGAACGGGTATCTACATCTGGAAATGGGTTTTTAATACAAGAACGTAGAAGGTGATATGATCTGTTCACTTTTGGGGTACATCCGAAATCCATGTTTCTCTATCCACTCGATGCCTAACATGTGGGGTGGAATGATTAAAAGAAGATACTGAATTTGGGGTTTCCAAGAGAATAAATTTTTAAGCATTAAGTGCAAGAAATGCTCCTTGTATTCTTTCTGCCAGAGCATCAAGCTAATCCACAGGGTGTTCCATGAATTTATCAAAGGGAGTCCATAAACTCGATGAATCCAACATTCCCAGTCCCAGGGCGGGACACTCAACATCCACGGGTGGTTCTTGAAACACATTAAGCATATTGGAACTTCCGATTCGTTTTCTATAACAGTATTAAATATGCTGCCTTCCCTGAAATAAATTTTGAGAATATTTCATATTTTCAATGATAAATTAATGAAGGTCTACGTAGAAGATCCATTAAAAATTCGAAAATTATTGTCACTATTTAATCACAAAACATTGAACAGTTACTACTCACTCAATCTAGACAAACCTTTTATACCTTAAGGATGTTTGGGAGGTACAGTCGGAGACAAGAGTACATAAAATTATAAATTCGTGATTAATTAGGTTTTGCAGCATATCATGATATAAATAAATACTATCTATTATAAAAAAAGGTATACGGTTTGAGAGAAAATTTGCAATTTGACCAAAAACTTTGAATAAAATAAGAAATAACGAATATGGAAAATTTTTAACTGACTTTTGGCAGTGAATATGCTTCAACTTCGTAACAAAAAAATATTCAGTTTTAATCTCTATTAATAATGAGCGTAAAACTTTTTAATATGTTTAAATAATAATTAAAACTTTAAAATTGCATTTATTTCAGACAATTATAAATATTATCATTATATTATCAAGTAAAAACGAGATTTTCAGCTAATTTTTCATTTTTTCCTCGATAACCATTTAGTGAATTTGAATAACCTTACGCTAAAGTGATTCTCCAGAGTTCAAGTTACTTATTATAAAAGTTTGAAATTTCTGGTAGCTTTTTTTCTGTTAATAAAAATAAATTTAATCTGTTCGGTTAACGAATCTCCATAAAATGACGTGTAAAATTACAATTTCTTAAAATTTCAATAACTTTTTAACGGTTTAGTGAATCGATTTGTAATTTTTACAGGAGTTTTAGAATTGAATGAGGAACGTTCTTCCAAATTTTTATTTGTTTTGTAGCATTTTGACATACCTCCCAAACATCCTTAAATCTCCCTCTGTCTTTCCCAAAATTAGTGATAGTGATACACTTTAGTACTTTTTCAAAATGACCGGAAATTATCATCAAACCATTCTAGCGTTATAATTAAGCGCTTATTTTTAGTAAAGCTGGTATTGACGTACATTCGTTCCTCCACATCGAAATCGCCAAATAAATCTTTATGAACTTTTTGTACCATTTTCAGTACATGTTTTAAGTCGGTCGAGGAGTATGCGTATCTATGACTAGTTTCGTTTATATCAGTGCCTTTGGGAATTCCGTCGGTGTCTCTAGAATTGTGCTGCATTATTCCGTATGATAAAAGAACATATTCACAAAATAAACACACAAACAGTTAAAAAACTTAAATAAAAATATGACGTGTCGTCACAAAATAAAGCGTTTTTTTTTTTTAATACATTCAATTTGGCATATTTACTAGAAAACACTCTAGATTTATTTCATACCTTAATCATCATCATAAGGTCATCAGTCCTAAGACTGGTTGGACACGTACCTCCACTCTTTCCTATCCTGAGCTAAACTTCGCATTTCCCTAAAACTAGAACATCCCACATCCTTAACTATTTGCGAACAGTAATCTAATCTAGGTCTACCTCTACCCCTCCTAACTCCTGTTTCTGCCTCTAATATGTCTCTGACTAGACCTTCATGCCTGAGAAGGTGTCCTACTAACCTATCGCCTGTTTTTTATTGACTTCCATAGAGTCCTCTGTTCTCCTATTCTTTCCAATACCTCTCCATTTCTAGCCTTTTCTACCCTCGATATCCTCATCATCCGCCTATAACACTACATTTCGAAAGCTTCTAATCTTTTCTTTTCCGCCGCTCCCACTGTCCATGTTTCGCACCCGTACAACGACGTGCTCCAAACATACACCTTTAACAACCTTTTTCGAATTTCTAAATTAACGGTTCACGAGTGACTTCTTTTAATGACCTTAGTATTATACTGTTAAAAAAATATTTACATACAAAAACACTAACATTTAAATATTTCCAAGTTTAATCGATTAAATCGTTAAAAAAACATTTATTTGAAAAGTAGTACAATTAAGATAAAAATAAATATCCCAATAAGCTAAAACTATATAGGTACATATAAATGTGATAAATAAATAATTAAATAAATAAATAAATACATAATTTACTGCGCCTTGAATAACGGACTTTCTTCGTTATCGTCAAAGAACAGATGTGTGTCATTTACTGGTGCGAAGTACATGGGCATATACAGAGCTTCGTTATTAATAAATTGAATAACTTGTTCTTTTATTAACTCCGGATATTCTGTTTGTAGAAATTCTTCGTCAATTTCATCCTTCACTTCTTTGGGTAACTGGGAAAATAATGTAAATTATAGATATAAATATATTCTTGATGGATAACTTGTCGTTGATTATAGTTACCTTCTTCCACTTATTCCATCGATATGTATCGATAATGTACTGGCCGAGAGGTTTTCCGAGCGAATAATCCTAATAATCAATTTTAGTTGGGCTTTTTATATTGGCAGTACTTAAATCTATCACTTACCCAATGACTGAATAGCGTGTTTCTAACTTTGTGTAATACATCTACAAAGTCACTCATGTACAGTGCGTATGTCCAAGGTTGACGGAAGTATTCGAAGAAATCCTTAATCAAACCCATTTCGTATCTCAAAAGTAGTTTATTAAATAGACTTTCGTGCTTACCCCAAATTGAAAATAGGTTGTTTTTGTCCAGCTTCTGCAGGACATAAGTAATTGAATTGATTAAATAAGGGCACGACCGAACAACCGAAAATGAAAATAAGGAAAGAAACAATTGCATGCGTATTATCCTGATATTATAAATGGAATGAAGCATCGTGCTACAGATGGCGTTTACTGCGCCATTTGTAGTATTTTCTAAAACGCACTGTTAAGACAGCAGGTAAAAGTTGGTCTGTGTTCTGTCGGAGCTGCCTGCGACGCGCTGATGAGATCCAAAAAAATGGAAATCGCGATCCGCGTCTGGCAGTTTCGACAGAATACAGACCACTTCGAATTATTTTATTCGATTAAGCTAACGTGCCTATCACGTTGAGGTTGGCTACGCCGGGATTCGTTTTCAGTAACTAGATATCCACACAAGTGGACCTTGTTGGAGCATACGTAATCATAAAATGTAGCATCGTACAACAGATGGCGTTTACTGCGCCATTTGTGGTATTTTGCGAATTTGTTTGTTTGCTTGCTACCACTTCACGCCTAAATTACTCAACAGATCATGACGAAATTTGGTACACACATTGTCAGGAATACAGAAAAGGACATAGAGGAAAAAAAGAGTTTCATGTGGTCGTCGATGATCTTTGACATGTATTTAGGACATTAACGCGAGAGAAGACGCGGGTAAAACCTAATTTATTATATTCAATCTAGGACTGCCTAGATTAACATTTACTTAACCTTCAAAGGGTGCATTTTATTAAACAAAAAAGTTAATTATTATCGAATAAATAAATATCAGTTAATAAAAAACCCCCGGGTCGCCCATTTAACCAACTAATCGCTTTACGAACTGATCGGTTGCCTTCTCATTCTCTTAAATTAATATTTGTGTGACAGACGTTATACAGGTCCCAATTGGTGACCTCGGCGTATTCAATAAAGTAGTGAAGGTTACTTACAAATCGGGTAAGACACAAAATCGTTTCTATGTGATTGTATTTATTCAAATGTATTTTAAAATACCCTTGCTTGCTTAAATCGTTAATGTCACCGGTTTCCAAATCTTTGCCCTGAAATTTAAAACTGAAAATTGACCTCTTCAGATTAATGGGGGAAATTTATGACCTACGTATTCGTCTGTATCCTCTGGGTTTCCTGATGGTACAAACTTGCCAGGTCTCGTGACACACAAATATTGCAAATCGCGAGGTAATTTACAAAACATTTTGATGGGCTTTTTAAACGATCTGACTATGTAGTCTCCGTCATCGCACACTAAAGGAGTCTTCTCCTCCATAAAAATCCGTTTTCTTGCAGCATTCATAAACGCTTTGTTAATTTTCATTCCAAAATCGTGACCTACCTCTTCTAAATTGTAATATCTGCAAATAGGACGTAATATATAATGAAGTAAGGAAAGGTGTGACTTCAAACTTTACAAAAACGAATCACAATTAATTTACCGATGAGACAGGTGATCGGCATAGTATTTTCGTGAGTATTTCGTCATGGAACCGGCCCCATAAATGTAGGGATCATTGGTCTTGTATTGATTATCGATTACCAAGCCGCCGTCAAAGACCAGACCTGCTTTGTTCATTGCCATGAAACTTTGCGGACTCACTGTCCTATACGAGTACATAAACATTGCGATGCACGGTTCGTAAATGCGAAAATGTTTCGATTTAAACCTGCAAGTTCGATGGTATAATTAATACATTAATTTGAATTGTTAAAATGAGATACCTGGCTCCAGTAATGTGCTTCTTTAGCGGGTCGTAATCCCAATTTTCAAAATTATAATCTATGTGCATCCTAATGTCGTTAGCGCTAACCGAATTTCGGACAGCATCCAGAACGTTCGAGTCGAAAATTGATTTAGTCATGGGAGCTGCTATTATAGATTCCTCTCTGTCGATCGGGGGGTCGACAAAAACGAGATTTTTACCAGGTATTCCGGCAGCCAAAAGAGCATTCAAACAACAATACGCTTCCAAAACGTTACCATAAACTATTACACTGTCTAAAATTTTTCATAACAACGATTGAATTTGACTAACTAGAGACAGTCCATTAATTTTTTTGTGGTACATTGCAACGTGAAATTACTATTAACTTTAGATTATATGATGGTACATTACATGGGTCGTTTTTGGCTTCTTCTATAAGTTTCAGTAATTTATCTAAAACACGTCGGCCTTCGGATCGGTCGTTAACAATGAAAACGTTGTGGGGAAAGTAGTTGTGAGGGGGCTGCTGTAGAACGTTCCGGGGGTTGAAACCTGGCCTCTGAAACTTCTCGCCGCAAGCCAACATCAAAACGTCATACTTCAAAAAGGCGCAATCGTCAACTACAATCACTTTGTTCTTTCTGTCGATGGCGGAGATTTCACCGGGCACGTAATTGACCAAGGAACGAATCATGATGAAATTTACCCATTTTTCATGAAACGAATCTAAAAATAAGAATCTTTTTGAAGAACCCATCGGGTATGCAGAGATTTTGGCGCAGCAAAGGACTATTTTTATCGATCTAAATGATTTTCGTGGGGGTTGATAATGGAAATAGTAGAAGTCGTAATATTATATATAAAAGAAAGTATGAGTGCTGTCAGCACAGGGCAAAGTAGTATTACGTAGTTAGTATCAGCAATTTCTTATGCTGAAGTGTACGATGTGTTGCATACCTATTTACAAACAATTCCTTTAAATTTAATTTTTCAAACAATTTTTAACACAAAGAATGTGATTAAACAAATTGTTCACAAAAGTGTATTTCGACCACTCGAAGCAATGGTGCTAACAGTTTCGAGCTCACAGTGACTGATACGGGGGAAGAACTTAAAGAATAATTAAAGAATTTTGAGGAGGTGTTCAACTAAGTCNTTCTAAAAGCGTACTCGAACGTGGAAACATCAAGTAGGAATGGTGATATTCCTTGTCGATATTTAGATCATCGGGAGCAATCACAGTTACATTGCTATAATTCAATCGGCATTCTTTGGACCAAGTACAAAGAAGACCTTCCAAAAAAGCAATGGCCGTCGAATCAGCTCCAGCTATCACAATCTTATAGTTCACGTCGTATCTGCAATAATTACAAAATCCATGGAATGTTTCATAAGAAAAACGGAATATTTAGTGGCTGCAATATTGAGATGTCAATACGTACATGTAACTAAATAAATAGATATTACAAACGCAATATCTCAATAATTAATATTATATGAAGCATTTTGAAACTTAGTGGTTAATATTAAATATTAATGATAAAATAATTAATCTTTAATTTTTATTCATTATGCCTCAATTATTTCAAATTAACGGGGATGTTACAATAGCAACAATTTTTCCTCATTAACTTGAGTTAATTTATAGTGGATAGAAATGAAATATGTATTTTCTTATTAATATTTAATATTAATATAGATACATTAGTTAAACGGATCTGTGACTTAATAAGCACAATTCATTGTTGTTGCTGTTGTCACCTCTCGCAGCTTAGTGAACAGAGCATTGGTGTATAAAGCTAAAGGTCCAGAGATCGATTCCCGGCGGGGGTGTGACAGCAGCAACAATTTTTCTATCAATAATTATTGTAATGACTCACACAGGTCTCGCAATTCGTTGTGGTGTAGAGACAAGGACAATTTTTTCGGGTTTTTCGTTTAGCGAGGGCTCCTTTCGATTAAGGAATCGCCGATCTTCTGGTGTTAGTGGCATATTAATTTCTTCTGGCATTATTTTCACCCTTATCGGTACCATGATTTCCATCAGATTGTTTAAAAAGCGAGTTCTCTTGAGCTCTTCGGTATCACTGTAGTTTACGTCATGGAATATAATGGAAAAATCACTTATCCTGTGCACCTGTCTAATAAAACAACCGATGATGACGACTTGTAACGGGAATGTCAAATACTTACATTAAAAAAAATGTAGAGAATTTACTAAAGGCGCAGCTTCTGATGGCGTTATTTATCATGCCGAACGTGTATGGTTTGTGCACTTTCTCATTGTAACACCCTCTTATCCAATATAGTCTTTTAACTTCCTCGATATCAACAAAAGGTTGAAGAATTATCATTCCTTTAAAATATAAAATGCAAAATTGAGGAAATCGAAATAGTAAAAAAAAATGTTTATTTAGTCAACTCTACAACATTTCGTATTTCGTAATTTCTTCAGGCATGCTGACAACTCTCGTCAGAAATACAGGGTTTGTCCGGAAAGTAATAGGACTGAGTCGATTTAAAAAAATTTATTGAGCCAATCGTTACAATTCTTTAAAAACTTTCAAAATAGGCTCCTTCTGCATCGATACAGCGCTGCCAGCGCGATTTCCAAGCATTGAAGGCGTCACAGAAAGCATTCTCCGGAATGGCCTTAAGAGCCGCGATGCATGCTGCTTGGATCCCTTCTGTCGTCTCAAAATGCTTGCCTTTCATCGGCCTTTTCAGGCGAGCAGACAAAAAAAAAGTCCCGGGGGGGGGCACATCTGGGCTGTAGGGCGGCTGCGGCGTCTTGGTCAGGTAGCTGACCACAAGAAAGGCGGTGTCAGCCAAGGCGTTGTCGTGGTGCAACTTTCAGTCGGCTGCGATGTCTTATCGGACCCGATTGACCCTTTGTTTGAGTCTCTGGAGCACTTCCACGTAAAACTTGGCGTTGACGGTTTTTCCAGGAGGAACAAATTCATGGTGGACGATGCCTTGGATGTCAAAAAAGACAATGAGCATCGTTTTCACTTTGGATTTGCTCATTCTTCCCGTTTTTGGGCGAGGAGACGCCGGCGTGTGCCACTCGGAAGATTGCCTCTTTGTCTCGGGATCATACTCAAAGATTCATGACTCGTCACCTGTGATTACGTTATTCAAAAATTGGGCGTCACTCTCACATATGTTTAAATTTTCGGCTTGCATCACTCACAGAAACACGTCGCGCGAAAAAGCCTGTTCTGACTCTCCAGGTGCTCGGAGATAACTCACCAGCCGCTCGTTCGTTAGCTAGGAATGCCCTCTACCGAATCCAGTCGGTGTGCGCACGCTCCGAAGTACAGTCGCGGCGGAAGGAAATCAGTCCTATTACTTTCCGGACAAACCCTGTATTTTTTACATGTAGCTGCGATTTACGCCAACATTACTTCCAAATTTCGTTCATCGCAGCAGCGAAACATTGTAAGAATTGACCAAGACAATGGCAAATTCTACAAGAAATTTTACGTTATTTGTATTTACCAATGACTTTCGACTTTATACAGAGGACGTATGCCGACAATGGGCTGTCATCGTCGCACACGGCTTCGGTGAAATCTTCCAAAAAGATTTCTTTATGCTCCATTGCTTGCATCGCTCTGGCGATGGTATCGTAGTCTCCCATAGAAGCCTGACGAACATACGGTTTTGCATAAAAGAAATCTCGGTGTTGAAAATACACGTTGTCTTCAAAACTATGACACGGCCTGGGAGTCAGTCGCGCGAAAATTTCCGGGAAACAGGGCGTAAAACACTGAGGATTCATGGCAATTAGGGCGAAATCGCGATTGGGGAAACATTCGTACGAAGTCGCGATCAGTTTCGGTATCACCACCTGTCGGTGTTCTTCAACGGCACTTACGATTTCAATCACAAACGCGTTGCATTCTCCAATGTAAGTGTCCAGTCTTGTTCTGGGCAATTTATCGTCTACAAACAGAACCAGTCAGCAATATTATTAGATCTCGTTTAATCGCATAGAAAGAATGAAAATAACGGCGGAAAAAATATTAGTGGAAGACTAATTTGGGCTTAGAAGTAGTAGGGGAACGGGAACTTGTCAATATCAAGTAGAAAATGATGCTAAATAAAGTAGTGATAGTAGCAGGTATTGTGGTACTACAACCTGATGATGAAAATATTATAGATAGAAAAGGTTAGAAATATAAAAAGGTATTGGACGGATGAGTCAATAAGAAATTGTACATCACACCTCACGCTAGACTGTTACCCACTCCTAAAAATTACCTTTGCATGTTGTCACTTTGGTTTTTGTAATTGCTTTCAAAAAATTTGGTTCATCAATGTATAAATGGGGTGTGTAGTATTCTGGATAATTATCAAGGTCAGTTGGTTTAACTTCATCTTTACAATGCGAAGGTAATGATTCTAAATCGGACCGTGATGCGTCATCACGGACATGCAGCGATACTAGATCTTTAAGCGAAACGTCTTCTTCGCTGGTCTCGGAACTAGTCTGACTCCGTGAGTCAACGTCAGAATGAGCTTGAGTATACACGGAGTATGATGTCTTCGACCAACGTTTGCTTTTATGACCTTCATCTTTCGATTGTTCGTCTTCGCCTTCCATTTCACCGCTAGAATATCATATTTATCATGAAACAACAGTGTCCATCTGCTGCATGGGTTCTTTAGACCCGGCGCAAATTGAACCCAATTCACGTACAACACAGACATAGCCCACGTTTGGTCAAGACCCGGTCCAGGTACACCAGGTACTGAAAGAGCAATTACTTCTCGGTTTAGGGTCTGAATCCGACTACGAAGAAAACATTACTTTACTGCATTTACTGAATTGAAAAAGAAAGAAAATTCAAGTAAAGGCATATTTACGAAAAACAGACAGTCATGGAGAGTTTAAGTTATCGAATGAAGTTCCAGACAGCGTCTTTAATAAGTAATTACACAGGATGTTACTGCTGAGGAGTACAATGCGAAACAATCTTTTGGAAATAAGGAAAACTAACCGTTCAAAAATTATACGCTATATTTCATATTAATTAAAGGAATTACAAGACCCACGACCCACAAGAATTGCGTTTGCAACACAGAATTGCCCACATGAAAATTGGTTGGGACTATGCTCGACGTAGAAGGGGTTCAATATGCGCCATCCCCTATTTTAATCTGACACAAAAGAAGTAGAAGTGGGACGATTGACTGTAAGCTCTGTAGGTTTTTACTGCCTTTGTAGCAACTCTCGTGTTGTAGGACATACCACGGATATTGATCAAAAATATTAAATAGATAGTCCACTTCTTCGTCAGGGAATTTCCTGAGATTGAAGAGAGGAGTCAGTTCGAAATTATGTTTCAAAAGTTCCAAATTAACGTTCTCGTTAAGAACTAAAACACCCACGGCGACTCCATCGTATTCGGCAACAATTATTTGCCTGCCGCTATTTCGATGTGTTGTCAATATTTCGGCAATGTAAAAGTCACCGTACATTTCCGTAAGACGTAACGAGTCTTTCTTTATTATTTCTACCACGTCGTCGTTGTCTTCTTCAACAGCTTGACGAATTTTATAACGTGGAAGAATTGCATCGGCTGTGAAAAGTACGAGGGTTTGACAATTGTGGGTTTCCACATCTACAAATAACCAACAACGATTCAATATGGATAACTGACATATCAAGAAGAAAAAGTGCCACCTTTCGGAAATATTCTTATACCATGTGAATCAATCCATTTCATACCCTTTACGTTTGGTGGTAAAATTAGTATCAAATACTTAATGAGTGGTTTGCGAGCAAAAAATCTTTGTAACAAAGGTAGAAAGAAAGTGTACTTGTACTTCTGATCCCACAGTATAAGATGAATCCACAGAGCATTCCAAGAATTCACCATGTTCAGACCGTACAATTTGTTAATCCAAAACTCCCAGTCCCATGGCGGCACGCTCAGGGTCCATGGGTACGTGTTTAGGCATAAGAAACAAACCGGGGTACCCGAATAATCTTCAAAGCACATCGAGTAAAGGCTCTCATCTCTTAATTCCATTCAGAAATGAAAAGAATAAGTTAGACTATACTAAAACTAATACTACAATGATTGAAATCTGAAAATTTGGATATACATTTTATGCTCAACATTAAAGTCCCCAAAAAGTTGCTTTTGATGGACGGTCACCATCGTTTCTCCATACTTTCCATCCTCTCTTCCGAAAGAAAATCTAAAACTGCTTTCATCTATGCCTTCTTCTATCTTTGATCCCATTTAAGAAAGAGAAATAAGTACGCAGATCAAAATGACATTAAGAATGACTTTTGGCAATACGAATTACTATTACTAGTTTTTTTACGGCCATCTTTATTTTTTTGCCTTATAGATAAACAGAAATAAAAGACGAGAAAACTTAATACGCTATCAACGTTGCGTTTATTATGAATACAATAAGAAAAACTGTTTAATTTATTGAAGTCTCTTTGTTTTGCATCATCGATTCAATCGGACAAGTAGGCCAGAATATCTACCTTGTCGAGCAGTTGAAATAGTTCAGTTAGCAGCAGATATCTATCCCAAATGTTCTTTGATTCTATCTCCCGCTTACCTCAGTGATTGTCCAATGTAGCTTTCACACAAAATGACAAATTTTAGACCACAATGTTAAAAAAAGTATTATGAGTGCCCTATTTCCCCACTATAACAAATCCCTATAAAACCAATCCTGAAATAATTTGTGGTATTTTCTTGGCTCATGCCAGTGCCAATGATATAATGATAACAAAATTTATCTGTTAATGTAAACATGTGTAGCAACGTAATAGGGTGTCGTCCTGCCACAGACTGCACTGACGTGGACGGGGGTAATTTGGTGGGGCGTTAAAGTATATTCGTTTAGGGAGTTGACAGCGTTCGCTCGGGGGGTCGCGCAGTCACCAGCTCCCGCACCCGCCGACTGCCTCGTTCGTTCGCGGTCATAAATAAAGCAAAGCATATTGAGTCTGCATTGATATGTATCAAGCCGGCTTTTATTGCGAATGTAATCCGCCTATCATGGCTCGATCAGCATAATAATAGTTTAAATGCCGCCCCCGAACATCTGCATTCACGCCACACATATGCACCCGAAAGTAATGTATTCGTTCAGAGTGACAAATACAACGAGGGGATAAAAATGTTCCGAAAATTCTTAATGAAACTTTGATTAATATTTTATCAAAAATTGTTAATTAATTGAAATAGAAAATACCACAAACGGCGCGGAAAACGCCATCCGTAGTACGATGCTACATTTTGTGATTACGTATGCTCCAACAAGGTCCATTTAAATATATGGATATCTACGTGCTGAAACGAAGATATCCATATATTTAAATGGGCCTTGTTGGAGCATATGTAATCCTAAAATGTAGCATCGTACTACAGATGGCGTTTTCCGCGCCATTTGTGGTATTTTCTAAAACGCGCTGTTAAGACAGCAGGTAAAAGTTGGTGTGTTCTGTCGAAGTTGCCTGCGCGCGCTGATGAGATCCAAAAATATCGAAATCGCGATCCGCGTCCGGCAGTTTCGACAGAATACAGACCACTTCGAATTATTTTATTAATTGAAATAGATTAAAATCGCTTTGCAAATTTCTGTCTTCAAGAATGTAACTGAAAAGAGGACTCGCGACAAGACTCCTAGTTGGTACCACTTTTCCTTTTTCTTTGGTATTTTATTATAGTTGGAACTTTTAAAGTTGGCATAGTCCGCAGTAAAAGTCTTACTTTCTTCATTCAACTTACTAACTAGAGTAGAGCGGTTGCTCACAGAACGCCTACTTTTACTCAGGCAGACGTTGTACAGAATATCATAAACATAGAAAAGAGATGCCACGTAAGAATTGCAGCGTCCACGATTAAAGAGAAAGGAATAACATTAAACCAATTGATGTGTAACAGAAAGAGATACAGACAAGCAGAATTTGAGTATTTATGACTACAGTTCCAAGTGGAAGCAAGAAAGAAGATACGTTCTCACAGATAATTTATTACAAACTTTGCCAATTATATTAACCCTTTCTACATTAAATAACTAGTTTTTACGTGTGACTTCTAACTAATAAATAACCAGAATAAGCAGCCGATACACATTATATTAATTGATATTATAATTTCCCTATACATATAATTAAGTTGTTTTTTTGAATCAATATAGATTACAACAACAGTTCACCATAATAATAATAATAATAATTCAAAATTAGTTACTTACCTTATTTTTAAATAAATTATAAAGGGTGATAGAGAAAAGTTTGGGCTTTACAGGAATGGGAAAAGCAAAGTTAAAAAAAACTATTAAATACTTGTTTATACTTTTTTTAATGGTATGACTAGATGTTTGAAAACGGTTTTACATAAACGATATGCATAGAGTATACTAAAAACTAAATTAACTTACAAAGTATAGGTACAATATTTTCATTTGTTGACTATACATCACCTTCTTTGGAGGACGCTCTATCTAAGTACATGCAATAAGTTTAATTATACATTTAGTTATTTACAATTGCACTGCAGCCTTTTGTACTGAGGCCTGTTCATTATTACTTGCGGCCCATTCAATCAATTCATATTTAACACAAGGAAAAACAAAAATATTAAAATAATAAATACATATTATAAGGACTGAACACGGCTTTGGTATTAGGGGTGGTTTTCGGCTACTAAAGCAAGCATCTAGTTTATTTATTAGGTACTTAACTATATAACACGTTACTAACAATTAGTCGTAGTAAATGTTCAGTTCTTTTAATATAAGATTTTTTTAAAAATAAAAATGCTGCTGCAACTTTGGCTTGGTTTAAGTACATATACGACTTTGGCAATGATATTAATTGTTTTTTTTTTGTTCTTTGTAACGAACCTGGCATAAAGCTATTACTCATTCGTTTCGAAAAATAATAATTATTGTAATTGATATTGGCAAATTTCCTTTAGGAACTATTGAAAAAATTGAGCACAATATTCACAATTATTTTCGCGATTAATTGATGCACAAAATATATTACAAATGAAAACACTTTTGCAACTAATTTAAGTAAAAGACAACTTCAAATTGTAGAAAAATAAGGTATGGAAGCGATAAAAGATGAAAATGTAAATCGATGCAGATTCTATGATGACGGTTGGCACCGTAAGCCCATATTTTTACACTAATAATTTTGTTTTTTTCAGTAATTTCTCAAGTTTTAAGTGTGTCAGCTATTCAAGTAAATGAATTGGAGTAATTAGGTAAAGACTTCTCTTTTCGTCACTTGTTCGTGATACCTTTCATCTGAATCTAAGGCATTAATTTCCGATAAAATTGCAAATATAACACAAAACGTGATAGATAATAATAATTGTGATAAAGGTAGATTTATTATTCAGCATTAAACATACCTTGGCATTGATAGTAAACTGTTTATGTAATCTTGACTTCTGGGATTACTGATATGTCAACAAGTACTTAATTAAGACACGCAGGAATTTACCCCTTTTAAAAGAATTACTTATTATTACACTGAATAATAAACGGTTTGATTAAAAAAAAAAAGTATTTCTTCTTCCAGATTCGCCGATGTACTATTTTATTATAATACTTAATAATAAATAGACGAAAACACTTTTCATTTCCTTTTGCTTCTTGTAGATCAAATATTGGAGATATCTACGCTTGCAACGATATTTATTTTAATTTGTTGGCAATTTCAAAAAAATAAAGACAAAAGGTCCGAAACACTAATAAACATTTACTAATAGGTTATCAAATAAGAAATTATCACGAACCGGGTAAAAAGAAACATCGAATCACTTTCACAACTTTCATTCTCTCTGTTATCATTCGCCCCGTATAATGGCTGATAACGCGTAAACATGGAGTACTTAGTGCGTGTTAATCAGTCGTCTTGATCTTCGTGTTTGAGTGCCCCTAAGGGCTCCTCGTGGTCTCACCCGGGCCTCTCGACTACTCCAATGCCACTGCCCGCGTACTGGCAAGCCGACAAGCCTGCCGAACTAGTCCTGACAGGACTAACACTGGAATAGCCCGCAAAACCAGAATGCTGTTTCGCCTTAAGTCTAAGAGAGGCTATCGAAGATGACATGGCAGTACACGGTTCGGTTGCTGCTCGATGATGGTACATGGAATATGGATTAGCCGGGGTTGTATAGGGACATGGCTGAGCAGTTACGGCACCCGCGGTCGAGGTCAAACCCGAGCCCATGGCACCAGGAAGCATGGAAGTGGCGGCTCCGGTCATCGAAGCCGCGGCGACCGAAGTTGCCGAATTGAAACAGTTCACGGGACTTTGGTGATGGTTAGACGGGACTACGGGCCAAAACGGTTTAGTACCTAGAGGACTCGGGACCTTTGTGGCCCAATTGTTATAACTATAGGAAGAATAGAGGGAATCTGTGTCGCCAAACGTGGGCATAAAACCATTGAATTGGGTGCCGAAACCCGTTTTAAATTCGGCAGCGGCTGCGTTCATGGCATTCGCTACGTTTCGTTCACGCTTGCGCCATTTTGCTCGTCGGTTTTTGAACCAAACCTGAAACAAAAGAAACAAGTGTCAATTTTCGAAAAATCTTCCCGTGTTAGACCGGGCTGAGAATAGTCTCAGCGTGTCGTAAAAGAGACAAATAAGGAATGAATAAGGAAGATACTTCATGGTAGTAGTTCACTAGCTAAAACTGTTTTAAACATACATACAATTTTGACATCTTTTCCAAGTGAGTATTTTGAAAATTCATTTTTGAATTTTATACCCACTACACGCTACCTCAAATTAATGAGGGAGTAGTCTAGTGGGCAGAATATTAGTGCGTAAAGCCAAAGGTCCCGGGTTCGACTCCCGGCGGGGGTGTGACGACAGCAACAATTTTTCCCTCATTAATTTGAGGTAGCGTGTAGTGGGTATAAAATTCAAAAATGAATTTTCAGAATAATATTTCATAAAAAACTGTTATTATCAAGTATTAAAGTTAAGAAATTAATTAATTTGTCACACTGTTAAATTTTAATGTATTTCAGATAATGTAAGTACCTAGTGAGACAGAACATTAGAAAAAGTTGATTGAAATAAACCTAGAAGTGAACATCCAACCGCATCTTCACATTAGAAGGATTTTAACACGTAACGTTGAAATCCTTTACCGGGATTAAAACGGCAGATCCCAGAAATCCCGCTATATCCCGACTCCTCGTTAACTGCACCGAGCTCTCTCTCTCTCTCTCACTATCTTTAGAAATTTATTTTTAATGAAGTGCGACTCCAGAGTTACTTACCTTCGTACCTACGCCACTTTTACTAAATACATGAGCTTGAAGGTAGGATTTTCAGCGGGATTACTCAATGTTAGAGAGAAAGAGGATATTCAGATTGATTTAACATCGTCAGAATCAACAAAATTATGCATACATGCTGATAATGGCTTAAATATATGCATTATCAATAACAAAAGAAGAAGAAGTTTTAGAGATTAAATATTTCGAATAAAGTAATTCGAGGTGGTCTGTATTCTGTCGAAACTGCCAGACGCGGATCGCGATTTCGATCTTTTTGGATCTCATCAGCGCGTCGCAGGCAGCTCAGACAGAACACAGACCAACTTTTACCTGCTGTCTTAACAGTGCGTTTTAGAAAATACTACAAATGGCGCAGTAAACGCCATCTGTAGCACGATACTACATTTTAGGATTACGTTTTTATTAAATATTTCGTTTCTGAAGCTGCACTTTTTTCTTGAAATTCGGAATGATGGCTACGGAGAATCCATTGTAATTTCTATTATTTACAAATAATTTCTCATATGCTAAACTACTCGATCTATTTCTGAGAAAACAAATTATTATCGGAGCCCAAGCATCTAACTGATCCTCTTTTTTGGAATAATGATAACCGATCCCAGAAATAAGACACAAAAAAAAAGAACAAAAGATCGTAACCGACTGGATGAATATCTTGCAAATAGATAATAAGATTCGTCAAAGGTATTTTTCGTGGCGTTGAAAAGAAATCGACTGTTTGGGTCGAAGTGGCTCAATAAATCAGGAACATGATACCCAGTTGTACTTGGCTGTGATATCGTGTTGGTTTGGTCCGTTGGCTGCTGATGTTCCGTAGATACGTTTCCTTTACTTAGCCGAAGTGGATCTAGGTAGAGAAGAGCCAAGGAGATGACGGCCATTTGGAGGCTTTGGCGGATTTCGTAAGTTGATCCGGGACATTTATTTCGGACGACCGTCGCCAGACGCGACGATTTTCCAACCCTGACGAAGGCGGCGGCATCATATCGTATCGTCCTTATCCCGTGAAAACGCTGGTCGAAGTTCACGCGCGAGAGATTTTCCCAACCAACGCCATCTGTTTATGCTCATGCGATTTTAAATCTGACAAAGATAGTGGTCCGCAGTCAACAACTGCGATTTCAAAGCAGCTTGTCATCGGGAGGCAATGTGGGGGGGGGGGGGTGCGACCGAAAAGCAATAATCATAAATATAGAAAAATACCTGACGTTTGAACACATCAACTACTGATTCAGTCTACGTCTTCTCAAAGCTTCCAAACTCGTGAAGTGAAAATCAGGTCAAAATTTATTAACCAATTCGAGGAGGTTGCTTTAGTATTAGTATTAACTAAGGAACTAAGGGGGAAGCAACAAGATGGAAAAAATAAATCGTTTTTTGATGTGATTCCATAAGATTTTACTATTTTTAATACATAAAAGAATTCATGGTTTAAAGGAGTATGTAGAAAAGCTTCCCTCCGATGAAGGAGTTGAAAAAATCTCCCATTTTTGAGAGGATAGGTATTTGTATTTCGACATAGTCTGTGTATCTATTAAGAGGAATTAGGGAAACCTCTCCCAACCGTAATCCGAGCCACATAATACACAAGACATAAATATTTGAATAACAAGTTTTATTCAAAGTGGAACTTTATTGTAAAGAGGTTCTTCTCATACCCCAATCCTACCAGAAATTTATTATGTATTAAAAATTAGCAAAAATTTATAGAAGAACCCCGAAAAATTGTTTTTTTTTTATTTCCGTGCCTTTCCTCTTTGATTCAACAGTTGTGCCAAAAGTAAAGCAACTTTATAGCATACAAAACATGACTTAGAAATACCCGAAGTTAATATTCTAAATATATAAAAATGGAACTGCATAAAAATTCATCAGTTTCTGAGCTTAATGAATACAGACATACAGATAGATGAAAATAAAGTACTTGTTTAATCCCTATAACATGTACATTTATACCAATGTATATTTGAAGTACCTAGGTACTTTCTAATAGTTAATCGTTGACTTCAAGTGATACGGAGTTTACTACAACAACAATGCTCATGTAGTTAACTGAGAATAAGCAACCAGAAATAGCATACGCATGCACTTGATTTATGATGTTTAGCAGAAGCAATCGATAACAATAAATAAATTGATTCGTTTTCGACCACTTAAACCAAAGGCGAAAGCATCACACAGCAGTCGTATTCTTGACGATGATCTTCGTTGCGGTAAAAAAGAATATGTGATAGTTCTTTCATTGAAATCACTAGAAGTGTCGGCCCCTTTTCTACGTGGCAATCGTACCGATGCGATGGGATAGCCGTTTTGTTTATTTTGTACAGACGGCAGGGGCTATCGAAATACGTGGTGGTTTGAATTTCAAAAAGACACCCGAAAGATAAACTGAGAGACGCTCCAGTCATATTAATCATTCTCATTTTTATCTCTTACATGTGTTCCTTGAGAATGCGATACCGGTCTTGTGTAATAATAAGAAGAGTATGATACAAGAACGTTATAAATTTCATTTTCCAATGTTTATACACATCGCAAGACCATTTAGAGATAAATATTTATTTGATTTCTATATGAGAATCGTTGACAATTCCTACCGTAAAAGCGGTTGATTGTTCAATATTTTAATAAACCATAAAAGTGGTCGACCGAGAATAAAATTGAAAACCAGTTCGTAACGCCAGTGTTTGGACCATTCGTGTGTTAAACGACCATCGCTTAATTAACATTTAATAAGCTCTGAAAGCGGACGTCGAGCGTCGGCGTCGGGACGCAGACCAGCGACGTTGAATCAACAACAAACCGTGTGATTTATATATGTGGCAGTGGCTAGGGGAAGGCGGAATGCTAGAGGGTGGTCTAGGGACGACTGAGGGACAGCGGCGAATAGTAAGCGATGTTACGTATGCATCAGCGAGAGAGAGGACGCGGCTACGACGCTGCGGGACGCCGCAATATCGCGAGCTCCCCCGCAATCGAGGAAGTCCATAACATTATGGGATGGATAATCCTATATGTGGACACTACCAACAAAAATATTGGTATTGCTTCACGAAATATTGTAACACCGTATTTTAAACAACTATTACGTATTAAAATAGATCTCAATTTTCATAAATTCAGCATCTTGGACAAGTTTTACGGGCAAATTGTTAATGTACAATTTAAAAACCTGCCCATAAAACTTCAAATAAAAATTTTGTCCAGTTTTCAAATTGGACAAGTACATTAACAGTCTGCCCGTGAACTTGAAGTAAAAATTTTGTTGCGATTCATTTTTCCGTTGAAGTTTCACTTCTACTATGTGTCCTGGTACTGCAAATTATGATTTGGCTTTTACACAGACCGCAAATAGAGGCAATGATGCCCAGCCACGTGGAGAGCAGAGGTAAGAAAACAACAGCTGAGCACAGCACACGCCACCGGGACTAGCGGACTCCCCGTTCTCCGCACGGCTGCGCATTGTATCCATCTAATACAGATGTTGCCCTCTCATCGCCGCCGCCAGCCTTTCTCTCTCTCCGCCGCTGACGTTTCTCTAAAACTAAATTGATTTCCATATCCATGCAAGGTATAGAAGCAATATTTAAATATTGTTGAGTACCTCTCTGGAACTCTCGTAAGTAACCAATAGTTAATACCAAGAGAGTCGAGTTCGTCTGGGGTAAGTTATATATGACGTGGCAATAAGATGGTAGCACCCCATTTGGTACAGTTATTTTCTCTACTGATTCGAAATAGTAGAATGGTCAAGCGTCCACGCCAATGAGCCGCATGTAACAGAATATAAATTGAGATATTTTTCATGGGAGCGCAGGCGAGAAATTACACGGTATTACACACCATCACATCACCGGCATAAATCAGCCATGAATTTATACGGGATGAGGGATCGTTGAAGTGCAAAAGCAATTAAACCAGGAACTGAATCCAATCGCATTGTACGAGGGTGGATTGATAAGTTTCCGGCCTGACCAAGAAAAACAAGGTTTTTAAAAATTTTTTTTTTTTATTTCTCAACATAATCTCCTCCAAGGCTGATACATTTCTCATAGCGGTGTTCCAGTCTATTAATGCCATCTCTATAGACTGATTCGTCAAGCTCCTCAAAATAACCATTTACAGCTTCGATTACTTCTTCATTGTCCGCAAATCTCTTACCGCCAAGCCATTTTTTGAGATTAGGGAACAGAAAATAGTCACTCGGGGCTAGGTCTGGAGAGTAAGGAGGGTGCGGCATCAATTCAAACTTTAGATCGTTGATTTTAGCCGTCGCAACGATTGACGTGTGCGCTGGTGCGTTATCGTGATGAAACAAGATTTTTTTCTTCGCCAGATGAGGTCGTTTAATTTTCACCTCGTGGCTCAAACGTTGCAATAAGTCTGCGTAGTATTGACCAGTGATAGTATTACCCTTTGCAAGGTAATCAATGTATATAATACCTCTTGCATCCCAAAAAACAGTAGCCATAACCTTGTTCGCCGAAAAAATTGTTTTTGCCTTCTTTGGAGTTGGTTCCCCTGGTCCAATCCACTGTTTAGACTGTTCTTTGGTTTCAGGAGTGTAGTGGTGGACCCACGTTTCGTCAACGGTTACGAATCGACGCAAAAATTCGCTTGGATTACGCTTATACAATGACAAATTTGCGGTAGAAATGTTTTTTCGAATCAATTTTTGGTCGACTGTTAGCAAACGCGGCACCCATCTTGCACAGAGCTTTTCCATATGCAAATGTTGGTGCAAAATATGTTGCACACGTTCATATGACATCTTACAGGTCTCAGCTATCTCACGCACTTTCAATCTGCGGTCTCCCAGCACTATTTGATGAATTTTTTCGATCATATCTGGAGTTGTGACCTCAACGGGGCGTCCTGAGCGAGGCCCATCAGAGGTGCTCACACGACCCTTTTTAAACTCGGAAACCCACTGCTTAACGGTTGAATATGACGGGGAGGATGTCCCCAGTGTTGAGTCCATCTCTTTTTTAATTTCCTTCGGCGTTAACCCCTTCAAATAAAAGTATTTGATGACAGCACGATTTTCCTGCTTTTCCATTTTTACGAAAACCACAGAGGCGTCTTGTTCAGCGTGCTGTCAAACCTACACTAGCAAGGAGATCGGGCTGAAACTATAGCTACAAGCTATCCAAGGATGGTACTATAGAATGTCACCTCAAGGTAGGCCTAGTGGCGTCATCTCTTGGTTAGGCCGGAAACTTATCAATCCACCCTCGTATATACGACAAAAGACGTTATTTATATACTAATGTCATAAAATAGTAATTGGGCGATCCTGAACGAGAATGCTTCGAAAATGAGATAGAACAAACGTTGATTAGAAGAATTATAATTAGATTCTACTTTCTGGAAAATCCAGAATAAATTGAAGACATTTTGGGAAAATTAAGAAAATTATTAGGAGAAAAATCAAAGACATTTTAAATATAAACATCAAAATTTGACTGCATATTAACCATTTAAACATCACAATTAAATATTTCAAAGTTTGCCATCACTATTATAAGGTTTTCGCATTTTCTTATCTTCCTATCTTATTGAAAACTAGAACAACCGACATTTCTGTCTTTCTGCAAAGATTTAAGTCTACTTCTTCCCTCTTTTAATTCCCGTTTCTTTTCTACTATGTCCTTTATACCTGAAGGTGTCCTACCGACTTATTTCACCAGAGTTTTTGTATCTAGGAGGTTAGATAATTCAAGTTGGAAGTACAGATATAAAACAAAGGATAACACAGGATCGAATTGCCTTTATCAAAAGGAAGTTTAGAGTAGTGCTAGCAAACGATTAATGTAGAAATGGGAAAAAGATTGTTAAAGGTGTATGCTTGAACGGGTGCGAAACAGGAACGGTGGGTGCGGCAGAAAAAAAAGGCTAGAACCTTTCGAAATGTGGTGTTTCTGGCGAATGATGGAGATAGCGTGGATAGAGGTTAGAAATGAGGTATCAGAAAGAGTAGGAGAACAAAAGGCGAGATAAATTGATAGGACACTTTCTCAGATATGTAAGGGTAGAGACTAGATATATTAAAAACAGAAAGAGAAGTTAAGAAGACTAGAAGGTTAAAAATTTGAGATGTTCTCGGTTCAGAGAAATGCGACAATTAGCTCAGTATAGGAAAGAGTGGAGATGCGTGTTAAAGCAATTTGAAGACTGACGACCATATGATGATGATAAGTAAGTAAATTACGATGTGGTTTAACAGGTATATTTCACTTTCAATACCGGATTGTCCTTAGGATTACTAGAATTGTCGATAGGGTATCGTTTACATTTTAATTACCTTCGGCAGTGGTGTGGTAACAATAATAGCGATAGCAACGGTCGGTGGCTACTAGATCTCGCGTCGCCGCTTTCCAACGCCTCCTAAACGACGCTTTAATAACTGAATCGGCACGCGACTGTCACGCGTTTTTCCTTTGCCCCTCAACAGGATCGTGTTAATCCGATTTGTTCCACGCACATTCACACGCCTCATCTACTTTCCTATTACGAATCGGCCACCCTAAAAGTACACAGTCAAAACTACCACTATACCGTCAGTGCACGACCTTCTTTTTACGCTATCTACACCACCCCCTACAGAGCATCAAGTCAATTTAATACCATTTCCCATTTATCTTTCGGTGTCTTTAATTGGAAGTCAACACAAATGTGTTCTCGATTTACGATTGGTTGTGGTTATTTTAATACAGGAAATATGTTAGAAAGAATTCGAATTATAAATTTTCAATATTTTTCTTGTATTAGATGATCTCTTGATATTCTTTGGGTTGTCGCCCATAGAATCCGGACTTATATTACTTTATTGGCCGGGTGTCTTTTGAAGATTTCCCCTCTTCCACCAAAACAAAAAAAAATCTGCAGGGTGTAAAAGCAATAAGTACCGAGTAAGATAAAAACTCTACAGTTACGTGGATGGAGAATGTAAACTGTTGATTATCGAACGTCCAAGGTAAACATAAGCATAGTCTAAATCAATTGAATAAGTACATTAGTTGGTAAATGGGCACCAGCACCATCTAGATAATAGTAATTTTATTAAGGCAAATTTCCACACCAGCATTGAGGTATTGCCAAGGCGCCTTACCTTTTTTGAGGGCGATTGTAAGTAATGTAACCAAAAAATTCAAATAAATGTCTGTTGGTGCGGGGATATTATAATTTTGACGTTTAACTGTTGGTAATTTTGAGTTCTGTTCGTCGTTTACACGTTTACAGCAAGCATTTAAACCGTAGTAGTATCATTCGTATGGTGTATTAGTCGAAAGGTCTAGGAAGATAACGGCGGCTGTATTTGTTCAGGTACTCGAAACGGCGGCGAAATTAAAAGGTAGTAACAACATGTAGAACACATGTAAACATTATTTAACTTAGATAAGAAATTGTTTCTGAACATCTACAACTTTAAAATTTCCCGCATTCTTTCGATAGATAAAGAAGATCAGGAATTATGTGCTTGAAATTAAAAAGTTACATTATATCTGCTATTTATCTGTAAATGTATCGCTTGATGATTGCAAAAAGTATCTATTACAGAATTAAAATTTAATATAAAATCCTTTCCTTGTTGATAACTGAAGTAGCACATTAGATGCAGGATATACCTTTCAACTTCAGTGACCATAATAATTGAAAGTAAATCATGATGGTAAAGGGATTGCCTTTTTTACAATAACAATCCCAGCGTAGCATGTTTCAACTCTTTTGTTTTTAATCGTTGCAATAAGTGATTTTTAGTTCGTAATGTTGTCAAAAAGTTCCTATTAATTTCTTGAAGAAGGACTTATTGTTGCATGCTTTAGATAATTGCTGCAAAAAGTGATTTTTAGTTCATAATATTGGTAAAGTGTTTCTCTTGCTTAAGACAATCCTAGTATAACTTGATTTAGCTATTTGAGAGATGTTTCATATGTTTCGGATGTTGCAAAAAGTGATTTTTAGTTCGTAATGTTGGTAAAGTGTTTCATTTGCTTAAAGCAATCCTGATTTAGCATGCTTTAGCTATACGAGAAATGATTCATTTGTTTCTGATTGTTGCGAAAAGTGATTTTTGTTAGCAATGTTCTTGAAGGGTTTATCTTGCTTAAGACATTACTAGTGCAACATGCTTTAGATATTTGACGGATGTTTCATATGTTTCGGATTGTTGCATACAGTTATTTTTAGTTCGTAATGTGGGTAAAGTGTTTATTTTGCTTAAGGCATATGTGGTGTAGCATGTTTTAGTTATTTGAGAGATGTTTCATTTGTTTCCAATTGTTGCGAAAAGTGATTTTTTGTTCGTAGTGTTTCTCATGTTGAAGACATTCCTAGTGTAATATGCACTAGCTATTTTGAGAGATTATTCGCTTGTTTCTGATTGCTGCAAAGAATTATTTTGAGGTCATAATGTTCTTAAAATATTTCTAGTGTTCCCTAACGTAATGTGTTGCAACTGTTTGCAGTTTCTTTATCATTCTTTTAGATTGATAAAAAGTTTAGCATTTTTATGAAAATTCTATTTTTGAGTGTTTAAGATAACTGCACACAATGCACATTACAATTCCTTGAAATTTTTATCTTTAATATTGTTTAAGTGTGTACAACAAGTAAGTACTGGTAAGAAAATAATTGTGCAAATAAATACTTACTCGCACTCTAGCTTCTGTTAGATTAGTCCACATGGCTATTTCCTCCCTCGTGCTCATATCAGGGTATCGATTACGAGCAAAAGTCGCTTCGAGTTCTTGTAGTTGTTGTGAAGTGAAGTGGGTACGTTGTCTTCGTTGTCTTTTAGTCTTTTTATCATTTTTACCGTCGTCTCCGTCACCCCCTTCCACCCCCACCACAGCCTCGGTTTTTACAGGATCAGATAACGAACGACTTGCTGAAATAAAATGAAACAATGTCAAAATTCAAGTTCACGTATTCCACCTGAAAAAATGTGACTGGGTTTAAATATCTAAAATTGGGTGTACAATTGGTTGCATACATTTCAATGTCATGTTTTAACCATTAGCATAGTTGGTTGCATAGGAACATCATAATATCACCAAAATTAAAATAGAGTAATTAAAAACTACTGTGTACCATCGTCCAAATTTGGATGGACGCGCCTCATAATTTTATGATTAATTAGGTATGTAATTATCATTGAGTGGTTAGGTTGGACTTAATTTGAATTAGATTTAGAAAGTCTAATGATAGGTATTATGTAATCAAACACTAAACCTACATATATCGACTCACTAATTACTCAATCACAAGATATGATTTTTAGAATTCTATTTCCTAAGTAATCTGTTAAATTGGCGTAATACATCAAAATGATTATCTTTTTATTTGATAATAGAAATTAAAAGTTATATAGGTATGTAAACTTTCCATTTTACTTAAATATGAAAATTTAATTAAACAATAGACAATTTATATGTAGGAAAAATACACGAAGTTGATAAAAAATTTCATATTTTGTTTTCCTTGCATTTATTTAGAACACTTTTTGATGTAATAACTAGCAATAAATCATTGTGCTCTGAAAGTAGGCATAAGTGATTAAGTTGGCATAAGTTGATTTGTTGTTAAGTGTCAGTTTAGTTGTTAAGTTTGATAAGGGACTGATATCTCTGTCGGACGTCCAAGTTTGATTAATAGGAGCTTTCCTCATCTGTTCTAATACAAGAAAAACAGTTAAGGATTTTAAAACATTATCGTATTCACAAAATTACGGATAACTTATTTCTGTTATCATTTTTCTTTACGTTTTATATATTCTATTTCCAGACGTAAAGCAAACAAAACTATTGATATCGAAAGTGAGATTATAATTTTTAATATACATGCACACATAGATACTTAGATGCTTATCTTACTTTAAAATACACGAAGAATAAAAATTTAAAACCTTTACTTATTTCAATAAAAATAATTACATTTTAAGAGTGAATCAGTTTAATTCGATTCGTTATTGTCAAGTAAAATCAACAATAAAAACAATTGATTTATATATCAAAAACCATTCTTTTTGTTGCAAGGTTTAGTTTTAATGATTACGTTATTATCGACGCTGTGATTCGTCAGTTTGCGTAATACTAACAAAAGAATGCTAGCTAATTTCTCATTGATTATTTCAGTACAAATGGAATTTTCCTACAATTTTTCAAAAGCAGTCGGAAATCGTGACAGATAAATTGTTACTAAAAATAAAAGCAAGATGACAAATTTAAAAATTCGTTTCTCATATAAAATGATACAATCTGATAACGTACGGTGTCGAGAAAATGCCTGTATATTGGTAGAGGAAAACTCACCCGAAAATTTGGAAAAAGTATAATTGAAATTATGAGTTGATTTCAATAAAGAAAACATTACAAGTAAAGCCAAAAGTAATGATTATATAAAAATTATTGAAAAACCTGTATACATGCGGCCATGATTGACAATCTTCTGCAATTCTATTTAGAAAGTTATTTCTATTTATGTCATTCAGAAATAGTGTTGATAAAGGAGAGTATGTAAACGAAAATACATTATTTTGTCATCAACGTGTGATCCCATTACGTCTAGATAACGGTCCTTTGCGGCGTTTTATTTTGTCGCACTCCAGTAAAGCAAAAAAAGAGGTATTTTTAGGTCAAACAAACAATATCTTCTCACGATCAGAGCCAAGAGGTCGCTATTGAAAAATAAAAAAAAAGAGAGGGTTCCAGTGGCGTACCTTGGCCCTAATGGCCCGAGCGCGAACTCTTTGATAATGGCCTACATCTTATTTGAATTTGTAGCTCGCTTTTGTGCGCGGTCAGAAGGCAATATTACTGAATATACTTGACGCCAGCACAAACCATAGTAGCTGCGCTGGCACCGCGTATACTTTCAAATTTTGCAGGGAGTGGCTTGTGCTAGCGCCAAGTATACGTAGTAATACAGCGGTCGAAGCCCGAAGCGCAGCGCATCATAACGGATTTTCGGTAGATATCAGTGAGGTTTTGGGACCATATTTGCCCCCCTCCCTTTACCTCCTCATCACTACGCCACTGGAGAAATCATACACACACACAACTGCCTGTAAATATGTGTGTGTACGTTATCATTATTGTTATCAATCCCGCGCCTCAGTTCGATAGGCCTTTGAGCAAGGCCGCCCTCGATCAATCATCAATCCCTGTGACAATTTTTGCCATTGCTGTTTGCCGACATTCTCACCTGCCAAAGATCAAAGGCAGTCGATCATCGATATCGTGATCCGAAATTGGTTACGAGAAAGAGTTCGCGAATCCATGCGGTCGACTGTAACGTCATTTCAAATTAATATTACGCAGCTAAAATAATAACTTAACTTGCACCATTTAATTTTAAATCCGTGACAGTTGTATCGCTTTACAAGGGCATCTTCATGAAACGTGATGGTTAAATTAGGTTAGGATTCGTCATTACGAAGATACCCTTGTAGAATGAAACAATTGTCAATAATTCAATATTGGATAAATAGTGGATATTAACTTGAGTAATTATTTATCTTATATGCCTACAAGGTGTGACAATATTTTCCTTTATTAATGAATTACTGTTATATTGAAATTTGGTTTGCTTCTAATATATCTAGGGTTGCCACCCGTCCGGGTTTCCCCGGATTTGTCTTAGTTTGGAGGTCATCCGGGGAGCGTACGGGTGGGCATTCATTTGTAGTCCGGGTTTAAAAATTTAAAGTCTTGGGCCGCCCGCGACATAGGTACCCATTGTGCTCACACACCACGATCAACCGATGAACCGAGTCGCTATATTCACCGCCCCCCCCCCCCCCNCCCCCGTATATTTATTTTTTTTAGGTTTCATATTTTTATAAGGATTTGTTTTCATAACAAAGTATATTAATAATTTGAGTTTTATTTTAACGATAAAAAATCTAACTGATTATTAAAACAATTTCTAACAAACTGTAATAAGATTCTGTTTTGTTAGGTACATTTAAAATGATGATAAAAAATGACTAAATTTAATTTTAAGGTCTGAAAATAAATAAAAAGTTGATTTATGACATTTTCAACGCTTTTTATTGCACTGACTATGTTTACAAAAACCTGTTGACATGTCCGGGTTCTGGACTCTGAAATCCGGGGTTTTCACGCGTCTTGTCCTGGTTTCCAAATTTTAGAGATGGCAACCCTAAATATATCTCTAATTAGCCCTTCATACTTCAGAAGGTATCCTATCACTAATGACTACTTATGTCTATTCTATCATCTGTTATGTTCTTTAAATCGTGTTTCTATCGTCTTGCCTGTTTGTCCTACATAAGATCCGTTACATTCTTTATAATCGCCACTTGTTTTTGAACCGCAATTATTTTTGTGTCCGTTTGTGGTTAATTGTTAAATTTTAACGTCATTTTTTTTTTTGAAACATTGACAGAGAATGCTATATATCGGTATATATTAATAAGTCTAGGTGAACGACCTTTTGAATTCCCTTTCCATTGAAAAATTTACAAGACACAAGACACACGCTCGTCTGTAATTAAGAGGACAAATTATTGTTTGTCTCATAAATTTCACGTGCTCGCGTTTGAAACGGGATTGTTAAATACTGAACGGAGTTTGAATTTTTACTCGTCACCGGGACGAATTTACAGGCTAATATTTAATAAACAAAGCTCAAATCGGTATCCAAGGGCTTTGTAATTTCGAAACGGATGGCGGTTGCATTTGTCCGAGCATAAATTAGGCGGTCGCGAGTACGTTAAATACAAAATATCGAACAAAACATGCGCGGCATCTATTTAAGGATTAAGCCTGGTTACGCTAAGTCCTCCGTTCTTATAAGTTTATTCCGCGAGGCATTAAATGTATGCCAAACGGCTTGGTAAAATTCTCATAATTGTTTTAGACGCTCCAGATATGTTCGACATCGTCAGAAAATTCTCTCTGCATACATAAGTTTTAAAGTAGTATAATTTTAAATCCCTTCGTTAGTTTCGCATTTTTATAATAAAATGTTTATCTACATTGATTTTACTGAAAGTAAAAAGAGACAAGATGAAGAGGTTGATGCTACTAGTCATTATCATCATCTTTTTCTCCTCTTGCTTCAGGCATAGGTAAACGAGGTGACAAGAAAAATAATTGCAGATTTCCCTGCTCCAGATCCAGCCACTTTCCAGGGCTTAGCGGCTGAATTTTTAATCAGTTTCTCAAACAAGTACCTTCTATCCCCATTCAGCCACTTTGAATACTTTCCTCTCTACTCGTTTTTCTCCCTTTATATGCATACATTTTTACAAATTTGCTTCAAAACTACCTGTATTTATATTAAATAACATACAAAGTAGATCGTCATCTCTACCACTACATTAAGATAAAATGAAAATTTTTGTTGTATTTTAATGATAAGCAGCAAGTAAAAATGGGACATACCTTTTCTTTCTCTCGTTCGACTCCTGGCTGCGGCTGGAAATGGCAATTGAGGATGGTCCATGGACCCTGTCCCCGACATTCCCGAATGGGCGTCCCGAAAATCTCCAGTTTCCGCCCAAACTGAAATCAAAACTCAAAATTGCTCGCCATAACAACAAAAAACTACATAAACAACCACATTTGTCTTCAATTGATTTCATTTTCTATAAAAATATCTACAACAAAAATTTAATCAAAAAAATGTAAATTTTAATCGTTTTCAATGGGATATTGCTTATATCGAAACTTCTCACTAAAATTTAATCAAAAAAATGTAAATTTTAATCGTTTTCAATGGGATATTGCTTATATCGAATTATTATAAACAATTATTATCAATTGCACACTAAAGAGAATATTGTCTTTCAATCGATTTGGGATTAATTGATTTAAGATATGATTAACAACCAGTGCGTTATAGGACTTTGAAATCTCCAATTCATTCCATCTATCACACTCTGGAAAAGGGAACGTACCCATACTACGTGACCCATCAGAGCAGGTCATCAAAAATACCACGTTTGGTCAAAGGGGGGGGTGATTTAGGTTTTCGTCAAGTGGTCAATATCGAGTCAATCTCGCGCTTTTTCGAGCTACATTCAAAACATTCTGTTTAAAAAACATAATTTGATATCATTTATATTTTTAAATTACTACGTGAAAACTAGAAGGGTTATGGGGTCTTGGCGTATACTATGGGAGGTCATCAAGGAAGAAGGGGAGGGGTAAAAATTGTAAAAAAAATGGGCACGCAGTATGGCCACGTTCCTTAAACAGTTATCTATTACTTGTCTTCATTTGATCTGTGTATGTAGATTCAGGACCCAAGTAAATTGTGATACTACAATTCATGATCCAAATGATAGTCATGTCAACAACGAGTGCGATAGTGCAAGAAATTTGCGATTGTCATGCAGTATTTAGGCCCGAAATATAAATCATACTCGTAAAACTGTCAATGCCCATAAGGTAGTCGGTGAGTCTTCTTGTTTCCCTTTTTCTACCGACGACGCGAAGCCGCCTGCGATACACTCCCACCATGTGTTCTTCCCATCCGTAATGTGATACATTTAGAATGACATGATGGTTAACACCAATTAGTATGGGAGGAGCAAGATTAATTAAAGAAGTTATAACCAACCGTTTATTTTTATGACGACGACAGATTTGACACTACAAAAAAACTCGTCTGTGACAAGTCTAAAGGAAAAACGGAAATAACATTTTTGAAGACTTGTGAAAGTTGTCATTATAATGCATGACAAAAGGATTTCAATTAAACATTGTAGATAAGGATTGTTTATTTTGAAGTGGCCAAATTAATTTTCTGGAGAATTTCCTGTCTTGTTGTACCTTTGGCCAGTCAGGTTTCGAAATTCACAAAGTTTAGAGGAGGTAGAGGAGGATTTGCACTTTTGAAAATAATTATTGCAAACTAACAACTAGTTCCTACATGAATATATTGCAAAATTATTACAAGAATGATAGATAAAACAATTTCTTTACACTTACCAAAATTAAGAATTATTTATCGAGTCCCATTGCCCCACTGCTTGGAGTAATGGGAATCGTCTACAAAAATTAGGATATAGAGTGGTACAGGTCGGACGAAGGAAGCTGGCGAGCGGTCGCGCAGGTACTTGCCCATTTATGACCTATTTGGGTAAGTCACTTGGAACCGATACACAAATAAGCTTTCAGTAGGCGTAAATTGTAGTATTAATACAGATGGGACAGTAGCGTACTAGAAAATAATGTAGAAACATAACTTACCAAAAAAATAAATTAACCTATTGCTTTTGTTTTATAGTTAGTTTTCACATTCACTCTCATCATGGGAATCTCTGTCACTGTCACCAACATCAACAATTAGTTCTTCTTTTTGTTTGTCTATTACTTGCTCACTGATCCCTATTTTTAAATATTTAATCTACGCCCCTGATAGGAATACTGAATAATGAGGGCTGCAATATTTATACCTAAAACTGCCTACTTTTGCCACCGCGCATCCACGCCATTTTAAAATTTCCGCCAATTTCCAGCGTCAGGCCTGTACTTAACTTACTTTACTTTAAGGTATCATAGGTTAGTGGGAGGGGAAAATGGCTAGAGGAGTGAGGTTAAAACTGTAGAACGTTAGGAAAGTGTTTTAAGGAGAGGGAGGAGGGGTGAAGGCGCAGAGGGTTGTGGTAAGAAGCCAAACAAAATGTATCTTAAGCCAGTCCTAACCTAACTTAAAAAATTTAGAGTTGATGCTTAGGTACTTATGGGACTAATTATTTTTTAAATTTGTAATAATACATAATTCAGCCACAACCTGGTTACATGCTTTAAGTTTTAAGATTTATTATAGACTCATCCTAAATAGCTGCTCAAACTTTAACCAAAGTAAAATATTACTTACCTATCTCCATTCAACAGTAATTATTTAATTGAACAACTAATACTAACATCATAACGACGCGCGCAGTTGCTGACTACCATATAGTCTTATATAGTCCCACCCTTAGCCTTATCTATGAACAGCATTGCCACAACTGGTATGGGCCCCATTACCCCTAATTTAATTTTTAATTTTTTTAAACCGTACCCTTAAAATTGCACAGACCATTAAATTAAAAAAAAAGGCATAACGATGAAATGCTGAAATGGGTACTTTGGTTGTAATCATTAGTGAACTGAAATGTTTTGATAAAATAGTTAGTTGACAATTAAAACCAGATAGCGAGAATAAAAACGATAAGATACATACAATTATTATGTGTATTATACACATGTGTGTGAAGGGTTTTATAAACAAAGGTTAGTTGTAAAACAGAAAGCATGTCTGCTATAATCCCACGTCTGACTGATACACAAAAGCCGCTTTCAAATCTAACCATCAATTAATCAAAAACATTTTTCGATTATGGTGTTGTTTCAAAAAATTTTGTGACAAGAGGTGTCAAGTTTGGGGATGTTTGTTTAAGAAGTTACCCATCTTGGTAAATGTCTAGATGATGGCCCCCACTTCCTTTGGGGTGGCGGTGGGTGGAACCGAAAGAGGGGGTCTCCCCCACCACTGTACCATAAAAAGTTCGTGGCAGTCTCACTCCCATAAAAAGTTATGGAGTTAGATGGGGGTGAAGGTAGGGGGGATCGAAAGAGGGTAGGGGGGATCGAAAGAGGGTGGCCACCTGAGTAAAACCCCATAAAGAATTTGCGGCGGTCTCACCCCCATAAAAAGTTATGGGGGTGCAAGTTGATTATTTTGACAATTTTCTTACATTATACTTCAAATAAAATTCAATAAAAAAAATATTATCAAACGGGTGGAGGTGGGGGATCGAAAGAGTGGTGGTCACTTGAACAAAACCCGATAACGTAACCTAACCTAACCTAACCTACCCTATTGATAAAGATATTTAAATAATGTTTTATATAACTTTCTCAATGTTTTTATGTATTTTTCCATTGTTTTTACCTTTGAATATTGTTTAAGAATGACTATATAAATATTTACATGCCTAGAAATGTATAAAAATTGGCATATTTATTAACTTTGAACCCCTATAACTTTTATGGGGGTGAGACCGCCAAGAACTTTTTATGGTACAGTGGTGGGAGAGACCTCGTCTTTCGATCCCCCCATCCCCACTCCCGAAGGGGGTGGGGGCCATCATCTAGACCTTTACCATCATCCTTTTTAGGGTAGGTCACGGAGAGCGGGCACTTAGCCACAAAATTACGTCAAGTACGGCTTCGCACCATCGATTTATAGGTACATATCGATTTATTCGCATTCAGAAGAAGAGCGCCTTGATTAGTTCATTTTAGTTTATTATTCACCATTCCCATATGAATCCATGTGTATATGGTTGATGCGTCACTGTCTAAATGTATAGATCACTGATTAACATCTGTGTCGATACTATTACATTATAGGTACTTAAAATTAGGTAAAAGATAAATTATCTTAATTAAACTAACTACGTGACTTTAACACATAAAGGCTACCTTCAATTTCCTTTTTTAAATCACTAAAACACCATACATCTTCACTTTTAACTTGCGACATTTTAACTAAATGTATGTGACAGAGATACGTATGTGCGCATACGTGTTGATTACAGTCATAATTAAATTACAGTCTCTTATCGCAAATAGTAAATAAAGACAAAGGGGAACGGGTAAACTAGTCCGAAAATTATATTTAGCTCGGTTTGGACTTGCCGTTAGAACCAGTCGTACAGTTTTCTATGTAAGATTTGCTACATCTATCTGAATATAATATAGGCTTAGTACGTAACAAAGAAATTGTATTTTTTTTTGTCGTAGGTATTGCAGACACTACCGTGTGTTTTGCTTGTTGTGAAGTTAATAGGAGCAATTTACAGAAACTTTCTCTTGTTGACACGTTTAATTGTGAAAAACAATTAAGTAGTAGAGTGAAAAGTGACGATAAATTACGAACGTGCGAACGTATTCGATTCAATTATGTGCATATTTATTTATGACCGCCCGGTATAACGTTTACAATGTTTGTTTTTTTGACTAAATACGGTGTATTTGCGGAAACGTTAATATATCTCTCATTCTATGTTTGCCAGCTCATTTAAAACGATCCCATAAAGGCAGCAAACATAATGGAATAATAAACCTAAGCGTCCAAATAGACCGTATACAACCTTGTTTAAACAAATAAACACAATAGTAACCTATTTGAGGGAAAGATAAAATGATACGGACATCTCTCCCCGCATCCGTATGCTTAAATTTACCCAAAAACTACCAACATCTACATATACCTAATATACCGTATGTGATACGCCCTCTGCTCTAACATACCACAACATAAAGCAAATATTTTCGTTTATGATATAACAAGACTCAAGATAATTCGGATGTTCTAAAAAGATTGATATAAGTACATCAAAAGCCCTTAATTACTTAACACTTTATGCCGGTTACAGTCTATAATCTTCACGTCAAATCCGGAGGAAGTTGTAGGTAGACTTGCCGATTTGACCTCACAGTTTGCCGAACATCTGCAGAGAGGGCGTTACATTTCAAGGTTATGTGGCGGTCTGGACCATAGACAT